TAGGCTTCAAAAAGTTTGAAAAATCACAGAGAATAAAAAACAAAGACTAATATAACATTCTAGAAGAAAAAGGACAAGTGACGAACATGCAGGCAAAATTTTCGTTCTAGGCAGTATTATTGAACATTTAAAAACCTATTTATTTCTCCCCTCTTTTTTAAATTAAATTTAAGGTCAAATTCCGTACTTCGACTGATGGGTGTGAGTAGAAGAAGAAATGAATCCTACCAAAAGCAAACTATTTATTTCTCCCATCCATTAGTTTGCAATTTCACGATTTTTTAGGACTATAAGCAAAATTTGGTTTGGACCAGATAGCTCAATGAAAGTAGAAGAAAAGAGTCCAATGGGGTTTTTGTACATTGCCAAGCCCATTAAGACCCAGGCCTATAAATGTACATAACAAGCCCAACACTTGGTCAATGAAATGTCAACATTGTCATGCCCCTATTAAGAAAAACACATTCAAGTTTCCAGCTCCAGGCATAAATAAATATACCATGGATAAGTTGCTCAGGAAACGATCAAAACACAAAGTTTCTGAGAGTTTAAATGATTTACGTTCATTACTTCCAGGGTTTATAAATTCATATCGACAACATTTTATGGATGGTTAGTTACCTATGCCAGCCATCGTGTGTCCCAAAGGCCTGGAGAAGATAGGTTCAGAAAAAGGAAAAGAAAACAACAGAAAATTGCAATGCCTCACAAATCAAGGAGTATTGAACCATTGTATTGTGAAGAACAAACAAAAATAGAGCAAAAAATAAGATGGGAACAGGACTAAAGTTGATTGCAAATGTGGACATATAAAATGGGTAAAAATACAACAATGAATCACATGCTCTTCTTACATAGCCTACATCCCAAGAACAGTTTAAAATCAATTTTCATTAATCAGTTCACCTATATTTGTGTTTACAGTTAGTTTCATTTCCATGTTCCGAGGGTAAAAATTCTTAAAAATTCATGGATCTCCACAGTCAATTGAGGAGCTCCATTTGAAGAAGAAAGTCTGCTAGGTTTTGCACCCAAGAGAGCTTTAGATTGAGCTACGCACTAACTTGGAAGGCTTTGAGTTTCTTACCCAGGAATGAATGATTGGGACTCAGCAAACCTGTTAACAGTCTTTGAGAAATCACCTCATCACTGACTCCTTTACAAAGGACCGCCCGCCAGAACTGTATGAACAATGATCAAAGCAAATGATCAATAGGCAGAAAATACATAAATGCATGTAATCTGATTCTATTTCAATGACAGAGGAGTAGATGAATCTATTAGCTTAAATGACTCCTGACTCACGACTATTGAAGATTAATATTCATGAATCGACGGTTTTCTTTGCTTTGTGTTAGTGTTGCCGAGCCTTCAATGAGTTGATCTTGCTCCACATCTATCGGGTCATAGAAGTATATCAAAGTCTGGAAAAGAAAACAAAATCAGCCAAAAAGTTCACCAGGACAAAACACATGCAGCATAAAATAAAACCTTTCTGCAAAATATCCAGTGTCTATCTTTATGTATTTTTCGAGAGGAAGCTTGAAGCTAATTTCAAGAAGAGGAAACGCCAAAGCCAGCCAAAAAATAATTGACCTCTATTGATCTTTTCACCAATCCTCTTGAGAATATTTACCTTCTGTAAAGTTTGTCACTTAATGAATATGAAAACACCAATCCACTCACTAAAACTTCAATAACACTAATAATTCCACAGAAGATAGCTAATTTCAATAATCAAAATATTTCAGATGAAAAGCTAACATCACAAAATCATGCAGATCACAAGGATAACCTCATATTAGTGCACATTTCTACTTTTTCACCAAGTATGAATACAGGATACCGTTTTTGGACTGGACAAGGGTTATGTTCATTTATCACTGGAAAGTTCTTAACTGCCCATCAAATCCCTCCCATGCAAATTCTTCATGTCATAAATTTTATACCAATCAATTTCTTCATACATTTACACACTTTTTAGGAATTCAGCCATAAACAGTGGTTCTGAACAGTTGTCTGAGAGGCAACACTAATCAAGGTAATTTGCTGGTATTAATTATTAATATCGTAATATACATAGGTTTTATTGTGCTGGCATTGCAGTTGAAATGTTCGCTTCTGCTTATGGCACCAACCAAACAAAAGAGAGAGTGCGCACATTAATGACAAGGTCAGGAATGTGCAATACCTGTTGCCAATGTGTTGGAGGGTCCTCTGGTGCAGTGGATAACACAAGTGCCTCATTTGGATTTGTCCTTTTCTTCCTCTGACCACCATCCACTGAGGGATTATTTGATGGTGCAGTTGGTAAGACTTGTGCTTGAGGATTGATGGGAGAAGATGCAGAACCACAAAATTCAACATCGAACCAAAACGCAAACCCATGAAATGGAGCTAGAATAACATCCAAACCACACTTACAGCAATCAGCAATTACAGCAATCAGCAAAACAGAAAAGAAGGGCAAATTTTTTAAAGACTGGAAAACAAGATGATAGATAGGCATTCGAGAAGGCTGTTGAATGTTTTTTTTTTTTTTTTTTACAGCATGCCGTATTTTGACAGCTTAAACTTTGAAGTGGATAATTGATTAAGACTGAACCAGAGCAGAAAAGTTGTGTGTCTAAGAAAAGGATTTTAAAATTAATAAAAGACAGGGAGCATACCTCTCATCATTGACCTGAATTTGTATCTCGTTGTAACAGATTCTAGGTCATCAATTCTAATTGTATAGCAATCCACATTCTTAACCTGTAATCAATACTAAAATTCAAATCTCTGAATGAAGTAGCTTTCATAAGAGTGAGCATGCATCCAAACTACATAAAACAGAATGATGTTCCTCAATATACAATCAGAGCAGCTATAGCCAAAGAATCTCAAAAACAACTCAAAACAGACATCTCAGACCACTAAGGGCACTCAAGAGGATTTGTATCAGATAACAACGTCCATATGTTGATATAAGCATTTTTCATTTAATGAAAATAAGGTATGTGGTGGACCAATAAACTTCATAACCACTGAACTAAAACAATTCCATTGAGATTGCTCATCAGACTATCCATATAGAGCAACAAAACCTATTTATCACGTTATTCTAAAACAATTCCATTGAGATTGCTAAGAAACTGTATATTTCAAAAGTGGGAATCTGCTGAACATTTAACCTATTCACATATGTTGAAAGGAAATAATTTAGAATAGAGTAATTTATAGTGCAAATATAGAAAGTTTTTTTATGTTACCTAAGTTAGGAAAATTTGTCTTTTTGTATAATTAATACTTTCTAAATAGGCTAATCTCTTTGCTATAGATACGAGCTGTAACTCCTTGTATTATTTACGACAATACAACATTTATTTTTTTTTCCATAGTATTTTACATGGTATCGAGCCAACCCGAGTTCTTATGAGAGAAAAAACCCTAGATAGCCTCCACATCCAACCTAGCCGCAAATCAGCAGCCACAACTCCACCATGTCCGAAAGCGAATCCGACTCCACAGCCTACTAATCCTTCTTCATCAACTTCAGCCAGTTGGACAAAACCTCCGACCTTAGTTTCCTCCGAATCTCATTTAGTCTAAATTATCTCTATTCGGTCGAATAGAGATAATTTCCTACACTCGGTCTCAATATGTGCTCATGTATATTCGAGGAAGAGGGAAAATTGCTTACATTACCGGAGATAAGAAAGAACCTATCATTGATGATCGGACATACCCTACATGGGATGCCGAAAACTCTATGGTAATGACATGGTTGGTAAACTCTATAGAGGAAAACATTAACTCCAACTGCATGTGCTATCACACGGCTAAGGAGCTTCGGAACAATGTCAATCTTATATATTCGGATTTAGGAAATCGGTTCCACATCTATGAATTAAATGTTAAAACTTAGAGATATCCGTTAAGAAAAAGACAATGTTACTAAATACTTCAATTCACTAAAACACCTATGGTAGGATTTAGATTTATTCAATACTCATGAGTGAAAATCTTCCGATGATTCCAACTATTATAAAAAGAAGGTTGAAAATGACCGGATCTTCAAGTTTCTTATTGGTTTGAATGTTCAATTTGATGAAATTAGAGGGAGGATAATTGATAGACAACCTCTTTCTTCTTTTCGAGAATTTTTTTTCCAAAGTCCATCATGAAGAGAGTTGCGGACTTGTCATGCTTGGCAAGAAGACTT